TTTTTTAAAGGGACTATGAATAAACAGCTACAATTGAGGAAACTGGAGTAGGGTTGCCACCCCCTGATGGGGGCGGGGTTTCCCCACTTTCAGGGGCCCCAATCTGCTCCTGCTAGCTGGCTGGCAGGGGAGCCCTGCCCCTTAGCAGCCCTATCTGCACTCATGTGCCCGGTGTGATGATGTCACCTCCGGGTGAGGTCACTGGGCACTGAAGACTCCAGGACGAAGAAAGGAGCCCCCCCCCGCCAAAACAAACTTAGGACCTGGCAATAGAACACGTAAAACAGAGACAGTGTCATCAATTGCAACAGCATCAGTGGGGACAGTGAAAGAGCAACATTAATCATTACTGGCATTTAGACTTATTAAATACTAAGAGTAAGGCCCATTGTGGAAATAAATACAACGAGATCTAGAAAAGAGGCTCTGGGAGAGTGCTTTGGCTTTGGGCAATCAGTGTCAGTTTGCTGTGCTTACCTCAGCAGGGTATAATGACAGAGTCCACTGTTTTCTCCAGAGGAACTGATCTCTGCTACCTGAAGAGCAGTTGTAATTGTGAGTGATCTGTAGCCCTCACCTGGAGATTGGCAGCAATTGTTACCCAGGACAAAATGGCTGGTTTGGAGGGTGGAGTCTATGGCATTCTACCTGTCTGAGGTCCCACCCCTCTGCAAACCCCACCCTCTCCAGGCTCCACCCCTCAAATCCCCAGGAATTTGCCAGCCTGGAGTTGGCAACCCCATCTCCTTCCCAGCTAACCATCAACCTACCATTATCTGCCCCTTTGACTTCAGCTGACGTCTGCCCTCCCTTCTGCAGAGCAGTTGTAATTCTGAGTGCTCTCCAGCCCTCACCTGGAGATTGGCAACAATGGGACTGAGTGGTTTGGAGGGTGGAGTCTATGGCATTGTACCTGTCTGAGGTCCCACCCCTCCTCAAACCTCACCCTCTTCAGGCTCCATCCCTCAAATCTCCAGGAATTTCCCATCTGGAGTTGGCAACCCTATCAGGACTGGCCCCAATGTGTTTTCTCCCAAAGGCCAAAGTAGGTGACAGGACCAAGCTTAGTTGCCAACCAACAGGCACTGAGGGGAAAGTAGGGTTGCCAGCTCTAAGGAGGGAAATACCTGGAGGTTTGGGGGGTGGATTCTGTAGAGGGCAGCATGGGGCGGGGGGGCGGAAGGACTCAGCAAGTATAATGTCATAGGGTCTACCCTCCAAAGCAGCCATTTTCTCCAGGGGAAACTGATCTCTGTCATCTGGAAATCAATTGTAGCAGTGGGAGATCTCCAGGTCCCACCTGGAGATTGGCAACCCTAGGGGAAAGTCAGCTGCACAGCAGGGGGTTGAAGAGAATGGTTTGATGGCTGCTGGGCCAAGATTGGCAACAATAGTTCCCCAGGAGCAAATAGCTGGGTTGGAGGGTGGAGTCTATGGCACTGTAACCTGTCTGAGGTCCCCATCTCCCCAGGCAGCTTTTAAAACATGATCCTGGGACCTACACACCACCAGACATTCCAACTGCCTTGCGGGGGGGGGGGGAGTATGAGGTGTGGAATGGAGTGAAGTCCAATCAGCTTCCATATGCAAAAGACCTTGAAGGTTCCATATGCAACTGACATTCCAACTGCCTTGCGGGGAGGGGGGTGAGTTTGAGGTGTGGAATGCAGTGAAGTCCAATCAGCTTCCATATGCAAAAGACCTTGAAGGTTCCATATGCAACTGACATTCCAACTGCCTTGCGGGGAGGGGGGTGAGTTTGAGGTGTGGAATGCAGTGAAGTCCAATCAGCTTCCATATGCAAAAGACCTTGAAACACTGGGCGGGACTGCACAAAGCAGCCAGTCAACCCAGCCAGCGTCTTCTGACTGACAGTTCTTGCAGCCAAACACTAAAGGTGTGCATTTGGAACGTTGGAGCCCACTACGGCTTTATATATAAGGGAGAGATTATTTTTGTATCACAGCAAAACATATTTCTAGGTACTTTACTTATTGGAACAGATTGCATATAACACATTTCAACAGAAGGGCAGAGACCATGGTAAGAGGTTTTTCTAAAGCTTGATGTGTAATTGACAATTTAAATATCAAGTCATATTTACACAATTTTGATAGTGGAAGAGATGAAGACTAAAGAAAACAATGCAAAAAGGAGCAGGAGTCTTAAATTGTCTGTTTGGGGGCTTTGATTTGGATTGAAACTAATCAACCACAATGTTACTCTTTAAAGGTGCCTGATTTTGCTGGCACTGCAGAAAGAACAGTGAAGGATGTATTTGAGTGAAAGATGGATCAGAAGACTCAGTATTTATTTAATTCATTAAGAGTAGTTGCTGGAAACAGCTGCTAGCCTGCTGTAGACAGGTCTCTCTCACTTACATTATCACAGCACTCTCTCCCCTAGGTAGATGAGGAGTGGATAGGGCAAACCAGGTACCTTGCTGGACTGTCCAGTTTGTACGACCATTATTTTGGGGATCAAGGTGGCCTTTTCACATATTATGTCTGATTTTGTGTTTTGCATGTAGTTAATTCAAATGTATCGGGGCTGTGGTGGCTCAGAGGTTAAGATGCTGAGCTGCAGACCGGAAGGGCTGTAGTTCGGCATTTCGAGACCCTAGTGCCGCATGATGGAGTGAGTTCCCGTTGCTGGCCCCAGCTCCTGCCAACCTAGTAGTTTGAAAGCAAGGAATTGCAAGTAGATAAATAGGTACTGCTTCGATAGGAAGGTAACAGCATTCCGTGCACGTCAGGCATTTCGTCATGCCAGCCACATGACCAAGGAAACGTCTTCGGACAGCGCTGGCTCTTCAGCTTGGAAATGGAGATGAGTACCGCCCCCTAGAGTCGAATTTGACTAGCTTTCGAGCAAGGGAAACCTTTACCTTAATTCAAATGTAATTCTTATATTAGCTAGAATTTACATGCAGTTTCAAAACAGTTCTCCTACGTCAACATGCATATATGATACAGGGAAGCTCGAAGACATGGTATCGCTACAGGTACAACTCTCAAGAGCAGGAAAACACTGTATTTCAAAACGTAGCAGAATGTAAATTAAAACAATTAATACTGTGTAGCACTTCCACATGTTAAACTAACAATTTTAGACTTATTTCTGAACAATACAGAGCTTTGGAAACTTTTGTTCTGTCACACACACGCACCCATCAGAGGAACGAAACTGTTCAGATTTTTCCCACTGTAGTCTGGTCAGACCATTCCAAGTTGTTCCTGCATAACGTCAACAACTCATTCTGAAGAGATGTGTCTAGTTTATGGTCTTGAGGCAAGTACTTGCATTAGGGCATGAATTAAGACTTGTTCTAATAGTTTCCAATTAAGGAAAAGGAAGGCTGTGGAACTGAATCCCACCACTTTACCCTTCACTCTCTGGGGGTTCAAATAAAAGGAAAAACCCAGCCTTGAAAGTGGGATCTGGCCAAGCCACCCAATCAACTGTGAGGGAGCAGATCGAGGATGCAATCAGTGCCCTGGTTTGCTCCCAGCCACTGGTGGTGCAAGAGGGGATGGCTGTTGCCTTCTGGACCCATGTCACCACTGGCTAGGTCCAAGCCAAATTCCTGTACCATGACCTCAATGGGGTGTACTGGACCCAACTGCTGGCAGCTCGCCTACTAGGCTCGCCTACTAGGCAAACTAGACTTTCGCCTAGAGTGCAGGGCCATCATGGGGGTGCCGGGCCAGGGAAGCCAAGCAGCTGCCGGACGCCTCTCTTCCTAGCAATCAGTGCAGGTATTGTTCCTATTGGACAGCTCTTCCCCCTCTACCAGTCTTCGCTCTGACTCTTCACACCCATCTACCACCCCGCCTCTCCTCCCTGCTCCACCTTCTGCTGCCAGAGGGAGACGAAGTGCAGCGCCTGCCTCGGGGTTCCGAAGGGCTCCTTCAAGTGGTGCCTTTTGCTCCTGGGGGCAATCCTCTTCCTGCTGTTGGGGTGCAGCACTGGTGAGTGAGTGCCTCCGGTGGCTAAGACCCCCCAATGCACAGAGATCCCTGCTTCTGCGTGTGCGCGTGTCTGCAGGGGATTCCCTTGGCATGCAAAAAAGGGGGGCTGTTGCCGATTTGGGGATTTCAAAGTCCTTTACCGGTCCCCGCAGTTTGGAAGCACCTCAGAGCAAGCTCTGCTCCCCTTCTCTACCCTGCTCAGCTTCCTTCCCCTTCCCCACTCCAGAAGCCAGTTTGGTCCCGGAAAGTGTCTGCTGTTGTCTTCACCAATGCTCCCTGTAAGCTGTGAAGTCTTGTGAGCAAAAATTCTCTCTTTGTGCAAAAATTCTCCTCCTCACACCCCCCACCCGGACAGGGCGGCAGCTGGGCAATGCCCCGGAGGGGGGGGGATGTGCCAGAACGTCGCCGCCCCCTTCCTCCTGGGAGTAGCTTGCAGCTCCACATGACCCATCCACCAGGCTTTGCCCCACATGCCTGAACTCACACTGGTTACCACAGCCCTCCCTGGAGGTTGGCAACCCTGTAATTGGTGGGCGCATGGAGGGGGGCGCCAGAAGGTAGCCTCGCCTAGGGTACAAAAAAACCTGGAGCCGGCCCTGCTAGCAGCCCAAAAAAGGTGGGCCCTGCTTGGGTACTTAGAACCAGCCCCGGGATTTTTAGTCTCTGCCTTGGCTTCACATGTTGAAGTACCTGCATTGAGTAGGGGGTTGGATGATTCTATGATACCTTGCCTGGGCTCTTCATGCCTATTTTCCCCAAGTGTCAGTTAAGTCTATTCCTCTTCCCCCTTCACTAGCAGAGCTAGTAAAAAAACTCCTAATTTTGGATTTCTACAGAACTGTAATCTAAGATCACAGTTGCAAGTTTGGCTTTCAGGCATTTGGCTGCAAAGTACTGGATGAACTTGCTTCTTCCCCAATTAAGTTTGAACCCACTTGGATTAGACATAGCTGCAGGATGATCTTGGAATGTTCCATTACACCTGTGGGGGGACCCTCCCCCCATCTCTTAAATGAAACAAATACTTACTAATGTCCAAAAGAGGTAAATTGTGAAGAGTGCGACAGTGAGTGCAATGAGGCCGACAGCTTCTAGCCTACTACTAAAGTGCAGGTGGTCCACTGCTCCCCGCAGACACAACCAGCCAGAGATGGTAGCCAGTGGAGTTATAAACAAGAAGCACACCATATCCCCAAACAGTGTCCGTTTCTCGTGCTGTGGGCCTGGGTTTCTTAGCCACTGTAGAAAGAATTAACACACAATAAGTTGCAAGAAAAACGGAGGGTTTCAACTGGATACTTGGATTTCTTGACATAAAAGGGCAGAACCTGCAACATTTCATTTTGTTTTAATTTCATTCTCTGGCCTATTGGGTGGGAGAAAAACTACATTTGTTTAATGCTCCAGAAGCCTGAGTATAGAAGAAAAATGGTTCCAGTAAAATGGATGTATTTTAAAAAAAAACACACCTAAGATTATTGGGGGGGGGGACAACAAGAAAAAAGAGGGCTCCTACTAGTGTCCTGGCCCCACTGCTGATGGCCCCACTCCTGATGGCACCTGGTATTTTTGGCCACTGTGTGACAGAATGTTGGACTGGATGGGCCATTGGCCTGATCCAACATTGGCTTCTTTTATGTTCTCATGTTCTTAAGCTAGATGCTTCATTAGCTGAAAGACTGCATACCAGGACTTTCCTTTGGTCTTCTATGGGTATTCTAATGGTAAATGTCTCTTAAATGGCTTCATATTTTAAGTATAATAATGTTCAATACCAATTCTTCTAATGCTGTTAAATAAAACTATAACTATAAATGTCAGAAATGCAAGTAATTTATACCTAAAGTCTAGATTGTTTCCAGTTTCCTGGTAACCAGAACTATTTATTTACCGTCTGTTGTGATACTTATTTACTATCTGTATAATGTAATACAGTGCATACATGTAATCAGAGTTAGACAAGGAGGGAAAGGCAGAGGAGACCTAACCCTTTAAACACCATTTGATTTTGCTATTCACAACTAGGCTACCCCTACTCTTAATGTTTTAAAGGGGAAAAATGGAAGTCCTAAAGAAACCCTTTCCACACTTTAATCACTAATAAAAGCAGGAGGAGCCTAGTTTTGGTTCCATAAAACTGAGCAGGAGTTGAAAGGACAAATATCCTTTCTGTACAGCTCCGATCCAAATTGCATATCTTTTACAGACTAACAGGGCCGCGATCTTCATCACAACTCTTTTGGCTTGATATATGACAGGGATTCAAGGCAAACTGAGGTCATGAATTGAGGGCAGCTGATGTTTCTTGTGCAAACCAATAACTATCAAAAACATTTGTCACAAAGATTGTTTTGGATTTTTACAACTGTAGATATGTGGGTAGGCTAAAGAGATCACGTTGTGTTTATGGGCTGAGGAAGAATGAAAATAGGTATTAGCAGTATACTACCAATGTACTGCTATACACAATACATTTATATGTTATGTTCTATAGTATCTTTATGATTCTACAAAAGACTCCACAAACACTTGTACAACCTTTTGCACAGATAGAGTATTTTTTAAATTTACTTTACCTTTTCAATCAAGCATAAGGGTAAAATAGCCCTTTAGTGATCCGAAGACATTTCCTGCATGCTAAGTGGAACCTTAGACAACAGTCTCATATCATGCTACAGATGCTGGTGCCAGGCCTAAACTCATAACAGTAGCTTTATTCTGCTGGAAGCCTACCAGCTAGTAGAAGCACAGATTATTCAACTACTATCCTCAAATATCAAACACTTCTGAAGTAAAAAACGATCCTTGCAAAACCACCCAGAGGGATGCCTCTTGTACAGATACTCAACAGGCATCAAGTGATTTCAAGCTATTGTGCTCATTAAGCTCATTTTAAAAGTTGGGCAAATATGCCAGAAACTTAATCACTAGAATTTCCAGTATAGCAAAGACCCATCTTTTTGTCTTTACAAAATGCAAAATTTAACTCTCTGTGACAGTGTTGGAGCATCCTAGAGTCTTATTCTTTGTGTGGCTCAGTGGTTAAGACGCTGAGCTGCAGACCAGAAGGTCTGTAGTTCGGCAGTTCGAGACCCTAGTGCCGCCCCCTTCTCTGGCCCCACCTCCTGCCAACCTCGCAGTTTGAAAGCAAGAAATTGCAAGTCGATAAACAGGTACCGCTTCGGTGGGAAGGTAACAGCATTCCCTGTGCCTCGGTGTTTAGTCATGCTGACCACATGACCACAGAAATGTCTTTGGACAGCCCTGGCTCTTTGGCTTGGAAACAGAAATGAGCACCGCCCCCTAGAGTCGGATTCGACTCGCTTTCGAGCTAGGGAAACCTTTACCTTTAGCCACATGTTCTTCAGCACTTCCAGTTCATTCCCAAACCTTAGCCAATGATGTCCTACCAACACCAGAACAGTATTAGTGTAGCTAGTTGGCTTCTTATGTTTTTTCAACAGGAAAACATAAATGCAAAAAAAGAGATTAAACTCCAAGGAGTTGAGAGCATAGCAATCCCACCTATCCCCACCAATCCGAGAGCAACGTGCTCCAGGCCAGCAGTGTATGGAAGCTGCCAACCAATGTATATTGGTCAGCCTCCTTGATGTTGCTCTGGCTCTGTGCACACTCAACAGAATAAAGGATAGGACAAAGGAAACAGTGTGCTGTCCACTCTTGGGAGGACCAGGATATACCAAGTAGGAATAATGAAGCTACTATGCTTCTCTGTAGTATGCACAGAAGGGTTTGAATCCCCACACATACTTGGTTTACAGCAGTAGGGAAGAATGAAGAGGAAGGACTGGATCCCTGAATTATAGTATGCACACTAAAACATCGCAATCTGATCAGGTTCACTCTGGCATGGCACTGGCAGAGCACTACACCAGCAGATCTCTAAGCTGCACTGGCATGGTGTTTAGTTGTCATTCTAAGCCGTTTATGAATAGTTTATAAATGCACTGTTCATCACTTACAAAGCAAATTTCATTATGTTGCAAAAATGCTAAAATATAAAAGACTATGTAAAATTGTCTTGGAAGAAATAATGTCTACAACATGTACTACGGCCACAGGACCATGTACCTGCAAGGATTTATTACAGAAACTCTGCCTGATTTTTGGATATAGAATGGCCAGTTTACCACCGTGCCCTTCTAGTGGGTCACTCTAAAAACTGCTCCTTAGGGTAAGAAGATCATTGTGAATGGGACTGGCTGCCGAAGGAAGTGGTAAAATCATCTCTCTCCTTGTGTGAGTGGAAGGAGAAACAGCTGGATCCAATGCAGTTTTTTATGCACAGTATTACAAATCTACCACAGTATAGTGGTTCAGTGTGTTCCGTTAGAATCTGGGAGACACCATGTTGGAATCCCACTGTCATGGAAGCTCACTTGGGGTGCTGTCACACAAGCTGAATAATGTACTTTCAGTGTACTTTAGCGATCATTTCCAAGTGGAGTTTGCCATTTTACATAGCAGAATCTAATTGTAAAAGGGCATTATTTGGGACAGTCATTCTCTCAGCTTCACCATCCTAATGATGGGAGAGGAGAATGAGGCTGTAAATGCCTTGAGTCCCCATTGGGGAGAAAAGCAGAGTATGAAAGTCAAAGCAAATAAATTATTGCATACTTATGACCTACTCCTTGCACATTTTCAGACATCTTTCCTCAAATGTATGTTTCTCTTTTGTGGGGCTACTGAATTATACCCTTTTTACAGGTTGTCGTGTGGTTTTTTAATTTGTTTTAAAACTTTAGAAGCTGTGCTGCTGAAGTCTAGGAAGCCTGCGAAGCCATCCCTACCACAGGTACCCTGCCATCTTGTGATCATTTCAATGCTTTGATGGCTATGTTTTTATAAACTGAAAAGCAGATCAGAATTGTGAGATGCCATGCTAGGCACAGCCCCTAACAATTTTTTATTTATTTATTTATTTATTTTATTTCATTTATACCCCGCCCTCCCCGCACGCGGGCTCAGGGCAGCTTACATAGGCACAGCGGTGCAATAAAATACAACAGGATTAAAACAATTAAGGCACCCAAAGTGCGATAAAACTAAACAGGTTAACCACTTAAAACAGAATTCATATCTTACAGGATACATCGGCGATTAAAATACTCGCTCATTATAGTATATCATAGTGAGATCAGAAAAAGAGGGGGGAATGCCATGGACCAGGCTGTTCCAAGTAACTAATCAGCCCATCCCGGCAGAACTGCTCTGCAGTGCACGCTGGTGGTAATAGTGGCGGCGGCTCCTACTCAAAAGCCTGGCGGAAGAGCTCCGTCTTGCAGGTCCTGCGGAACTGTAAAAGGTCATGCAGGGCCCTGATCTCCTCCGGGAGCTCATTCCACCAGGTAGCAGCCACCACCCCTGGCCATGTAGGGCTTTAAAGGTAAGCACCAGCACTTTGAAGCAAATCCGGAACACTATAGGCAGCCAGTGCAGCGCTTTCAGTACAGGCTGGATGTGATCCCATTTAGGGACCCCCACAACCAGCCTGGCCACCGCATTCTGTACCAGCTGCAGCCGCCGAATTTGCGACAAAGGCAGCCCCATGTAGAGAGCGTTATAGTAGTCTAGCCTTGAGGTGACCGTCGCATGGATCACTGTGGCCAGATCGTCGTGGCTAAGGAAGGAAACCAACTGCCGCACCAGCCGTAGATGACAGAAGGCTGCTTTGGCAGTGGCCGCCACCTGGGCCTCCATCGTTAAGGTGGGGTCCAGGAGCACTCCCAAACTCCTAACCTCCGAAGCTGGCACCAAAGGTGCCCCATCGAAGGCCGGGAGTGGGAGCCCCAATCCCATGCCACCCCGACCCAAGCACAGGACCTCCGTCTTCGCCGGGTTCAGCTTCAGCCCACTCAGCCTGAGCCACCCAGCCTGTAAAGCCTGGTGAAGATCTTCTGGATTGGAGTCTGACTGGCCACCCAACTTCAGATAGAGCTGGGTGTCATCGGCATATTGATGACACCCAAGCCCATACCTCCAGACAATCTGGGCGAGGGGGCGCATATATATGTTAAATAGCATCGGGGAGAGCACTGCCCCCTGAGGCACTCAACATTGAAGCAGGTGCCTCCGGGACTGCTGCTCCCCTAGCCCAACCCTCTGTCTCCGACCTTGGAGAAAAGAGACAAGCCATTGAAGGGCAAGCCCCTGAATCCCTATGTCGGCAAGGTGGTGGGCCAGCAGCTGCTGGTCGACTGTATCAAATGCGGCCG